TTAGCCGAAACTATATTAAAAACATAGTAAAGGATATGACGAAATTATTTTGAGGGAGTTTCGGCTGGCATCTTTAAGTAGTAGTCAACTAGGATTATCATATCAAACTACTTCTTGATTTTCAGTAAGTGTTTTAAGCTTCTTGATTCTATAATTTTGTATTTCATTTTAATTTGCTAATTTTATCTTTATTTATGCTAATTTCAGATTCAGCCTTTTCTATATTTAAGAATACATCATTTTTAATCTGATAATCTATTATAATACTATAAATTTGATTTAATTCAACAAGCTTTTTTTCGGTTGCTTTAATTTCATCTGCTATCCTCTTTTGAGCTAATGCATTTTTAGGAATTTCTAGCTCAGGATTAACAATAGGTAGGATGGGCAGAGGAGTTGGTTTTACTATAGGGTTAGAGTAGTTTGCTCTCACTGTTAGTATAAAATATAGGTTAATTGGTATAGATATATATTCTTTAATTATATTGTCAACTTCAATAGCACTTTTACTTTTAATATTTTTCCATTCTTTGGCTGTTTTACGACAAATAATAGCATGATCTGGAGTATTATTTCCCATTGTTAGCATAGTACTATATGTGTAGGCATTAGTAAATTCTTGATATTTATTATTTAGCGATTTAAAAATTAACTTTTTATTAAATTTAGGGCTATAAAAGTAGGTTTGATGACTCATTTTTAAAAACTTTATGCAAAATGCGTTTATAGTAGCAATAGTTCACAAATCTTCTTTTTATTAAGACACGAAATTATTAAAATTCTCTTTATAGACATATTAAACATTAATGATTTGTATTAAAATAGCACAAAAAAATTTTTGATTTACTATTAAACAGCAATTAAAGCGTAAAAATCCTTTAATTTTATATTAAAACAGCAAATCCTTTGCAATTTAAATATATTAAAAAGCATATATTTGCATTAAAATGGAAGTTTGACATTCAATATAAAAATAGAAAATATAATTTCCCTTAAAAAATGTGATATCTAGGCGCAGTGTAACTTATTAATATCACGTAATTTCCAATTATCTTACGTGAGGATGTAGAGTCAGACTTTATATCAAACTAATATTACATAATAAATGGCATAGTCCTAATTGGTAAGAAAAAATTAAAATAAAATAAAAAAGCTAAAAAAATACAAATTTTTAGTTTAATTCTAATAAAATTTAAGAATTCTCAAAAAGAAGATATAAATAAGTTTTTTAAAAAAAGGTATCTATTTTTTTTGTATTGAATAATATAAATAAATAGATCTAGAATAAAAAAAAGTAATTATCTAACAAATTGATTATTTTTGATTAAAATAACAGTTTTTTTTGATTATAAAAGTTAGTTATATAAATTTTGTGGTTTTTTTGATTATTGAAAAAAATTAAAGTGTTTTTGATTAATAATTTTGATTAATTACCTAAATTTGATAATATTACACATTATTGCTGATAAATCTTAATCATTATATATAAATTTTAGTATCCAATTTTTTACATTTTTTTTCATTTTCTTTATATTTTTTTTTTTTATTTATTTAAATAATTTTTTATACTTTATGTTTAATCTAAGTTTTTGATATATTATTATTATTTTTTTTTTATTTTCTTTAGTTTTTTATTTAACACATTTATTTATAACATATTTAGCTTTTTTTAATATATAAACTTATAAAGAATAAATAAAATATAATAATGATATTCTGTAAACATGCTGTTTGATTGAACTGCTGAATAGTATTTAATAAATATACCTATTTTAAAATTTATGATTAAAGCATTAAATAAATAAATTATATCTAAATTAGTTAAAACTAAAATATTAATTATAAAATGTATTTAAGATGTCACTAATTATTTAGAAAAATAATTACATCTAAAATAAAGAAATCTACTAATTTATTGATAATGTACTAGTTTTAACCTTAAAAGAAAATAAATTACTTACTAATATAAACTTAAAATTTGAAAAAAATTGATAATTATTCAGAAGATAAGAATGCTTATCAATATTTATTAAAAGCTATTATAATAAATAATTAAAGTCACATAATATAATAGATCATATAATTTTACTTTATCACATAATTTATCAAATCTACTAATTCTAACAGATATGCTAAATATATCAAATCTGACTGATATATCAAATATATTATATATATCAGATATGGGAGGTTTGCTAGGAAAATGGGACTCTGAGACTAAAAAATTTTTTTGAATAAATTAAAAAATCAAAATAAATAAAAAACTAGCTTTAAATTTGAGACGATCTATTTTTAGGTCATGTGATATATATCATATGATATAAATTATTAGCTA